ATATATATATATATATATATATATATATATATATATATATATATATATATATATATATATATATATATATATATATATATATATATATATATATATATATATATATATATATATATATATATATATATATATATATATATATATATATATATATATATATATATATATATATATATATATATATATATATATATATATATATATATATATATATATATATATATATATATATATATATATATATATATATATATATATATATATATATATATATATATATATATATATATATATATATATATATATATATATATATATATATATATATATATATATATATATATATATATTTATATATATATATATATTTATATATACTCGTTCAACTGCTCGTTAACACAAATTTCTAATCAGCCAATCACATGGCAGCAACTCAGCACATTTAGGCATGTAGACATGATCAAGACGATCTGCTGCAGTTCAAACCGAGCAACAGAAAGAGGAAGAAAGGGGATTTAAGTGACTTTGAACGTGGCATGGTTGTTGGTGCCAGGCGGGCTGGTCTGAGTATTTCAGAAACTGCTGATCTACTGTGATTTTTCACACACAACAATCTCTAGGGTTTACAGAGAATGACCTGACAAAAGAGAAAATATCCAATGAGCGGCAGTTCTGTGGGCGCAAATGCCTTGTTGATGCCAGAGGGCAGAGGAGAATGGCCAGACTGGTTCCAGCTGATAGAAAGGCAACAGTAACTCAAATAAGCACTCGCTACAACAGAGGTCTGCAGAAGAGCATCTCTGAACACACAACACGTCCAACCTTAAGGCAGATGGGCTACAGCAGCAGAAGACCACACCGGGTGCCGCTCCTGTCAGCTAAGAACAGGAAACTGAGGCTACAATTCACACAGACTCACCAAAACTGGACAATAGAAGATTGGAGAAACGTTGCCTGCTCTGATGAGTCTCCATTTCTGCTGCCAAATTCGGATGGTCGGGTCAGAATTTGGCATCAACAACATGAAAGCATGGATCCATCCTGCCTTGTATCCACAGTTCAGTCTGGTGGTGCTGGTGTAATACTGTGGGGGAATTTTTCTTGCCACACTTTGGGCCCATCAGTACTAATTGAGCATCATGTCAACACCACAGCCTTCTTGAGTATATATTGATGATGTTTTAAAATACAGAAAAGAAAGTGAAGTGATAGTGTAATAATAATCTCTTCAGAGCAGTATTTTTATTTCACGGTAATTTTTAGATGTTTTATTTCATTTGTATTTTCTTTTAAAAGTACTTTATTGCATTGCATTTATTTATTAATAATAATTAATTATTTTGTATATTTAATTGACTTAATAATTTTTACTGAATTAAATATACACTACGTTTAATCTTTTCTTTGGGCTTTTATTTTGAATTAAGAGTTCAGCATACTTGTGATTTTCTGCTGGCTCGTCCAGCTGCCTGCTTTGTTTTTGCCATCTGTGCTGCTGAAGGTTTAATGTAGTGTTAAAACATCATTTTTACTTCTGTTTCGGAGGTTTTTTATGTTTGACAAGCATTGTGAGAGAGTGTGTCCTCAGGCAGACTCACAGCACTAGCAGATGGCAGCGCTAATGTTGACGCTAGCTAAAACAAACAAAGGTTTGTCTCGCCACTACTAACAAATCTTACATCCACAATATTCTGCCAACATTAGTTTTAGGTTGCAAAAATAAAATCTAGGGCCGCACGATGGCTCAGTGGTTTGCACTGTCGCCTTACAGCAAGAAGGTCGCTGAATCGATCCTCAGCGTAGTCGGTTGTCATTTCTGTATGGAGTTTGCATGTTCTCCCCGTGTAGGTGTGGGTTTCCTCCGGGTGCTCCGGTTTCTCCCACAGTCCAAACACATGTGCTATAGGTGAATTGAATGAACTAAATTGGCAGTAGCGTATATGCGAGTGTGTATGGGTGTTTTCCAGTGCAGGATGGCAGCTGGAAGGGCATCCGCTGCATAAAACATATGCTGGAATAGTTGGCGGTTCATTTCACTGTGGTGACCTCTGAAATAGAGACTAAGCCGAAGAAAAAAATAATTGTATGTGCATATGGATGTTTTCAGTTTTGGGGGTAATTCATTGGTCGAGATCACCAGCGATCTAGTCTGGGCAGATCTACACTACTGCCACTGATATGAACTACAACTCCCAGAAGTCATTGCTCCAATCACTCCTGCCACAGCTGACAGTCATCCACACACACATGCAGCTGAAGTTCATCAGTGAATGATTACATGGACTATATATATATATATATATATATATATATATATATATATATATATATATATATATATATATATATATATATATATATATATATATATATATATATATATATATATATATATATATATATATATATATATATATATATATATATATATATATATATATATATATATATATATATATATATATATATATATATATATATATATATATATATATATATATATATATATATATATATATATATATATATATATATATATATATATATATATATATATATATATATATATATATATATATATATATATATATATATATATATATATATATA